TGCGCTGGATGGCGTCCGTCTCATACTTGGTCCTCCACTGGGCCACCTCCGAGTTGGCCTTGGACAGCACACGCTGCAGCTCGGCCTTGGCCTCCATCTCCTCCTCATACTGCTCCCGCAGCAGGTCACAGTCATGCCGGGCCGACTGCAGTGCATGGGCCAGGGCGTTCTTGGCCTGGGGAGAGGCGAGCACCAGGAGGTGGGAGGAAATCCGTGTCCCTGGTTCTCAAACTCAAGTGATCCTCCCGCTTCAGTCTCTCTAGTGTCTGGGACCACAGGTGTGCATCACCACGTCTGGCTTCCTTCTTGCCCCATTCTCTAGATCCTTCTATCTGTTCACTTCAATCCAGCCCCAGCCTCATTCAGCTTGTGTGCTGAGGTGAAATCTCAATGTCTTTGAATGGTTTCTTGGCTTGCCTACCCCATTCCCTTACAAATAAGAAGCGTTCGGTCATTCAGTTACTGGCTGTTGCCTAGTTGGGGGACAGAACCTTGACTGGAGGCCTTTGCATTACAGAGCCTCCAGTCTATTTCTGGAGTTGTGGTTCATTGCCCAGAGCTTCCATCAAACCTGTTCCACTGGCTCCATTGGGCCTCACCTTGCCCTCCTCCTCCAGCTGCCTCTTGACGTCCTCCAGCTGCTGGTTGTAGGACAGCTTGCCTCTGGTCAGCTGTGAGATCAGCGCCTCCTTTTCTTCCAGTTGCCGGGTCAACTCACCTGCAGGCAGAATAAAGGGTTTGTGGGCCAGGGAAGGGGGCAGCTAATGTCCTACCTGGGGCCAGTGCAGGAGCACTCACCATTCTCGGTCTGCATTTTGGCTCGCTGGGTGGTGAAGTCATTGAGGGTGCGCTGGGCCTCGTCCAGCTTCATGCGGTACTCATTGGCCTGGTCCTCCAGCGTCCGAGACACCTTCTCCAGGTTTGCCTTCAGGGAGTAGGGGACACAGGAAAGGTGAGTGTGGAAAGGGCTGTAGTGGACAGAGAGTGACCGGGTCCCCCAGACAGAGGAAGGAACAGAGGGTCAAGGTAGAGAGGACATAGAATACAGGAGGGTGACCCAGGCATTGTGTGTGGGGGAAGAGGGCCTCACTCTGAAGAAGGGATCTGAATTTTTTTTTGTACTGGGGATCGAACTCGGGACCTTTTGCTTGCAAAGCAGGCGGCGGAACCACTGAGCTAAATCCCTGGCCCTGTTTTTTGTTTTTTGAGACAAAGTCTCGCTATGTAGCCCAGGCTGGCCTGGAACGCACAGCCATCCTCCTGCCTCAGCCTCCCAAGTGCTAGTATTGCAGGCGTGTGCCACTATGCCCAGCAAGGGGACCTGAATTAAAGGAGGGAGAAAGGCTAGAAGTCAGATGTGGGTGGCACCAGAGAGGGGCAGGGTAGAGAGCAGAGAAGACCCAAGGGAGGAAGGGAGTGAGAAAGACAAGATAGAGGATGGAGAAGAAAGGAGGAAGGCACAGCTGTGAGGAAGAAGAAGGTGCAGAGAGGCTGGGAGGGCTCACCTTGGCCTTGATGATCTGCTCCATGTTGGAGGTGACATCGTCCAGCTCCAGCTTAAACTCGCTCTTCTCCTTCTCCAGCTTCTGCTTCACCCGCTGCAGGTTGTCGATCTGCTCGCTGAGCTCGGCCACGCTGTCCGCGTGCTTCTTGCGCAGCGCCGCCGCCGTGGCCTCGTGCTGCAGCGTGGCCTCCTCCAGGTCGCGCCTCATCTTCTGGAACTCGGCCTCGCGTTTCTTGTTCATCTCGATCTGCACGGACGTGGCCCCGCCGGCCTCCTCGAGCCTCTCGCTGATCTCCTCCAGCTCCCGGGACAGGTCTGAGCGCAGCTTCTCCACCTTGGCGCGGGCGGTGCGCTCTGCCTCCAGCTCCTCCTCCAGCTCCTCGATGCGCGCCTGGGCCGGGATACAGGGCCTCAGGCGCGCCCCGGGACCCTCCGTGGGAGCCCCCGCCCCAGGGCTTTAAAGGCTCCCAAGTACTTCAATCCCTATCAAGCAGCGGTTCTCAAATAGAGGCAGTGTTGTGCCCCAGGGTGCAGTTGACTGTCTGGGGACCTTTTAAATTGGCATGGCTTGGTGGTGAGGGTGCTACTGGCATCTACTGGGGAGAGGCCGGGGATGCTGCTAAATACCCTATAATGCACTGGCCATGGATAGGAATTTGGTTAAAACCAAACCATCGAGAGTTTCCTGAGGGCAACTGTAGACTTAGCCTGAGCATCCACAGCCCCGAGTCCTGAGAATCTGTGCAGAGGGGCATCCTGAGCTCTGCTGAGATTGTGATCTCAGAGTCCACAAATTTGCTTGACCCTGTTCTGCTAACCGACCACAAGAAAGTAAGTGCTTGTATTTTCACAAATACTCACAATATGCCTAAAAAATCAAATACTATAGTAATTTTCTTTGTTAACCATGAAGTCTAATCGACCATATTCTTCACCGTTCAGGATTTACTTATTTTGGGTTCTCATCCAGGCCAGCAAAGGTCACCTTTTCTTCGTTATGCCCCATCCTGTTTTTCTGGCCTTAGCCTTGGAAATGACTCAATTTTGAGAAGATTTCATCTACCATTTTGATCTGTTGTTTGGCTTGCCAGGAACAAAGGGGAGGCTTGGTGGAATTCCCTTCATCTGGGATAATGGACAGCTTTAAGGGACTGCAGTAAGCTCCTTCAGCTTTACTGAACTTCAGGACTGGAAGAAAGGACCTACATCTCCACTCTCAGGTTGGAGAAGGTGGGAGTTTTGCCGAAACAGGGAGGAGCCCTAGCTCATTGCCAAGATGTGGTGAAGATAAACACACTCTTGTTTGGGTCCAAGAAACCAAAAAAGTTGCTGAGACCCAGAACAGGAGAACATGGGGAACAGGTCAGCATATTGGCTAATACCCAAAAGGAGCACCCAAGAAGATGGGAACATAAATAACATGTGAAGGCAGGCTAATGCTTGAGTGGCCCAGAGGAGTGGAATTGAGTCCATATGTTACTTGCAGCCTGAACCACGGGTCCTGTGAGCTGAGGGAAGACCTCTTCCTACTAGCCATAGTCTGCCCAGAAAGTGAGAGGACAGGTCCTATCTCTAGTAGTTGAGCACCTGTTTCCACTATGTCCAGAGCCGACCATGCAGTTTCTGCAGCTATAAAATGGAGGTTGTACCTGGTTTACTGGTTTTCCAGGAAAACCCACAATTAAAAGCACATTAGTTTGGGGTACATTATGGATTTTTTTGAGATGGGGGTCTCACTGAGTTGCCTAAGGCTAGTTGTGATCCTGGGCTCAAGTGGTCCTCCGGCATCAGCCTCCCAAAGACCTGGGACTACAGTTGCACACACCCCATCTGGCCAAGGGCGTTCCTTTACTCTCCTCCCACCAAGGGATGGGAGAAATAGAGGAGACAAAAGAATACCCTTCTTGTTTGTGGCTGGCTGACTTTAACCTAGGCTGTATTAAAATGATATTTAAGTAGGATTTCCTAGTTGACAAAGTGGTTTCATATACAGTACTTTATCTCCTCTGGTGCTGTAAGAGAGGTATTGTCCCCTGTTATGGATGAGAAGAGAATCTGAGGATCAGGGAGGGTAAGTGACTTGCTTGAGGTGGTAAGAGCCAACTGCATATCAGGAGCATCTGTGGGGACTCAGCCTGTGTTAGTAGCTGGAGTTAGTACTGGGAAGAGGATGAAGCCAACAACCCACAGGAAGGTATTCCATGAAGGCCCTTCTCACTCCTGTGCAGTGGGGAGAAGTACTGAAGGAAGGGTAGAGGGAGAGGAGAATCGGGTCCTACCACTCCTACCAGAGCAGAAAGTCCATGAGCCAGAGCATGTTTCAGAAAGAGAAATCCTTTTAACAGGTACGATTCTCCCCTAAAATAGCTTTGCTCCACTGGTACATTCTTGCTCAAGAAGACTAGGGCAAGGCTAGTGCTGCCTGGAAGTCAGGGATGGTTGGGGCTCTGGGGATGCCTGAAGTTCTAGATATTGTCTAGAATCCTAAGCAGCTCCTACAGCCTCAGGGCATCAGGTGTCCCCTTAGCTGCACCAAGAAGAACATCACCTGGTTCTCCTTCAGTTTCTTCTGCAGCTGAAGAGCCAGCGCCTGCTCATCCTCAATCTTACTGTTCTGCTGATTAATGTCAAACTCCTTCCTAGAGAAGAAGAGGGTAGCGACTGGTGGTCCTCTGTCGGGAGCAATGCTACCGACAGTCCTCCTTCCTCTGGGCCCATTCTCTTCTCTTGTCTCAAATGCCAGCTCCCTCCCTTCTGGCCCGGAGTGAAGGGGGAGGCCTGTGCTGGCCCTCAGAATTCCCAGTGTGTGAGCCCAGGGCAACCCCAGCCAGTGGAAGTGCCGCACCATGTGCTCGGGCCAAACACTTCCTTTAGGCCTTCATGGCTGCTGCAGTTGCATACTTCTTGAGCTTTTCTTCCAGCTGCTGCTTGTCATTCTCTAGGTCCATGATGCTCTCCTGGGTCAGCTTCAGGTCACCCTCCAGCTTCCGCTTTGCCCGCTCCAGGTCCATGCGCACCTTCTTCTCCTGCTCCAGGGATCCCTCCAGCTGGTGGAGAGA